GGCCCCAAGGGGCCTACAAGAAGACAGACTAAGAAATTTCGAGAGGCATCCAAGAGGCCGCTGGCACTTCTTCTGGTCGCTCTCCTCCTCCTCCTCCTCCTCCTCCTCCTCCTCCTCCTCTTCCTCCACCTGTCCTGTCGCTCTATGTGGACTGTGCCGCCACGGTGGGATGTCTGGCGAACCTTCCTAAGGCGTCCCGCGCGAGGTCGGCCATGGCCCACTGGTGGGCTGAAATCGGGGACCGCCTGGAGGGGATGGACGTGTTCAAAATTCCGTCGCACACTTTAGCCAAGGATGTGCGCGATGGTAGGCTCACTGAGCTGCAGCGTGTTGGGAACTCGGAGGCCGATCGATTAGCCAAAGGAGGAGCTGAGCCATCCCGAATGAGTCACGGAGGTCGACTTCTCGTCACAGGCTGTGCGGATGCTGGTCGACAAGCTGAGCGTAGCGATTGCCATGCAAGACCCACAAGGATTGGAAAGGCTGGGCTACATCCTCCTCGACCCCGTTCCTGGCATCCCTCTTCCTGGGAGCGGCTGCAGGGAGAGGAAGCGGAGGAACGGGGCCCGGGGTTCCCCCGTCCCAGTGCTGGTGGGCCTGGGTCCGTCCAGGGTTGCCCCGAGGTCCCAGTGGAATCAGGCGCGTGGCGCCGGCGTGGCCATCCCACAGAGCAGGGCGACGTCTACGATGCAGGCCGAAGCACCGCTTCACGAATCCATGCTCTTCTGCATCAGGTGCAGCTGTATGGCCCACTCCGGCACCCAGCGGGGGAGCCTCCGCGACGAGTGCCAGCCAGCATCTGAGCAGCGGGGCAAGCGGGATTCTCATCCAAACGAGTTTAGAACAGGCATGCGCCCTGCCCGCAGAAATCCGTCCAAATGGTGTGTGCGTGTGGCCTGTGTTGGAGCCCCCACCCTCGAGGTCAGGGATGAATGGGGGCCCTATTTTGAAGGGGAACTGGGACACACAAATAAATACACACAAATAAAAATATCCCCCTATATTTTCCCATATTTTCTGGGTTTTTGTCTTCCCCCCACTTCCCATATTTTCCCATAGTTTCTGGGGAATCGAAGATTAATTGTGTCTGTGTGTTTCTTTTCCTCCTGATATTTCTCTGCCTAGGCCCAGGGCCTCAAGGCGCCACCCGGGCCTCCCCCCCCCCCCCACGTCCGCGCCGCACAGGGAGGCACCTGCGGCGGACCTGCAGAGCGGCCCGGTGCCGCACGGCCTCACGAGGGACGAGGCAGAGGCTCTGGGCAGGCAGGTGGAGGAGAGACGGAGGAAGGGGGAGGTCGAGGAGGACGAGCCCGACACCCTGCTCCCCGCCTAAGTCGTTCTTTGTTGTTTCCTGTTGCATGCGGACGCTGTCGTACCCTTCACGGTCCTTGGCCTCCTCATGCTCCTCCTTGTTCTCCTGCTCCTCATCGTCATCATCACCCTCATCAGCATCAGCAGCAGCAGCATCAGCATCATCATCATCATCATCATCATCATCATCATCATCATCATCATCAGCAGCAGCAGCAGCAGCATCATCATCATTATCATCATCAGCATCATAATCATAATCAGCATCAGCATCATCATCAGCATCGTCGTCGTCATCGTCATCGTCATCAACATCATCATTATCATCAGCATCACCATCATCATCATCATCATCATCATCATCATCATCATCATCATCATCAGCATCATCATCATCATCATCATCATCATCATCATCATCATCATCATCATCATCATCATCATCATCATAACCAGCATCAGCATCATGATCAGGATCAGCATCATGATCAGCATCATGACCAGCATCAGCATCATCAGCAGCATCAGCACCATCATCATCATCATCATCATCATCATCATCATCAGCAGTGTCAGCATCAGCATCAGCATCAGCATCAGCATCAGCATCAACATCATCATCATCATCATCATCATCATCATCATCATCATCACCATCATCATCATCATCATCATCATCATCATCAGCATCATCATCATCCGCCTTATCCTCCTCCCTCCTCCCCCTTCCCTTCCTCCACCTCCCCCTCCTTCTCCCCATCCTTCTCTTGTTCCTCTCCTTCCTCCTCCTCCTCTTGGGGCCTGACGGGTTCCCAGCCGTTCTTCCGCGGCGTGCTCCCCCTCATGCCTGATCAAAGAAACTCGCCTGGGCATCGTTTCTGGATGGGCTGGTGGGGCTACGCGACGCGTCTAGAACAGTGACAGGGTCATAAAGCACAGAACTTCCATCAGCTAGACGGGTGCAGGGCCCGTGGTTTCCATCATGTGTCTCTCGCCATAGCGCCGCTCGCGTTCGTCTTGACAACTCCCGGCAACTATGCAGATGGAGGCCAGCTCGTTTTGAAGATGGGGCTCTCGCATGGAATTTCCTCGCAACACATTCCCCCACGGGTAAACTGTGCAACAGCTACACGGAGGGAGGGCGGTTCCTATTCCAAGCAGGGCCATCGCTGGGAATTCCTGGACCTTTGAAGCCCCACACTGTCGCACTCCGCACTGCTCGAAGGATGGAAGGCGGTATCCTTCAAAACGGAGCTCCCGGCAGAATTGCGGGCCACTGGGGCGCTAATGTCGAGGGGGCGTGTCACACAGTGGTGGAGGAATGCATGTAGGGACTGACGTGGACTGGACTTGGGACGAGGGGGTGCATTGCAGCATACATGTATGGTTTACTCTGGTCCTACTTTTCACCATCCGTCCTCCTCCTCCTCTAAGATCACAGCTTTGAATTGCTTCAAGTCCTGCCGCCACCCCAAGGGAGGCATGAGGAGCAGGCCTTGTTTCAGCCCCCCCATAACCCTTGATATGTTGATCAGGGAAGCGCAGGCAGCCCTTGGGGAGATACAGTAAGCAAGACAGATATGAACTCAGTCAGAGGCGCTGGTCACCATTCCTCCTTCCTCCCCTCTCTTTTCCCCATCCCACATTTTGCGTGTTCCCGCGCGCACGTCTGCATGCAAGGCTTGCCTCTGCATAAGATCGGCCGGCTGCGCTGGGGCTAGGTCTCACATCCGAATGCTCGGGCGCGCGCCCCGCTGACAGACAGGACCGGACGGGCCGCAGTGAGCTCGACATGGGGACGAACCGCTTGAATGGTCGTCATCAAATCAGTTCCCCGCGCTCCTGCTGTTTTGCGCGCAGGCTGGAGCCCGTCCGCCAGGTCTGAGTACGCGATATTTGCAGAGTGAGTCATGCACGCGACCCCACAAACTATCCTGAAGAGCGAATGCCGCCAGACCAACGACCAGGACACCACGGCTTTCGTCTGTGTGCGATTGGAGGATGTCGGCGGCGAGCGCGGGGGGGAAATGAGAAGGAGAAGGCCTTCTCAGAAGGCTCGGAAGTCCCCTGGCCTTCTGAGAAGTTTTCTAAGCCTTCCCCGAAGACAGAAACAACTTCTCAGAAGGCGCAAGGGCTTCTGAGAAGTCCCGCCGCCTTCTGAGCAGGCCTTCCCTTTCTCATACCCCCCCTCGCTCGTCGCCGAGAATAGGCGGGAATAAGCGAGAGCGGGCACCACCGCGATGGCCCAACGAAGCTGCAGGCGTGCGCGAGGCGCGCCCTGCAAGGACAGAGAACCACAGCAGACGTGCATAAAGAAACCCGTGTCCAGCAGGGCGCGCGGGAACAAGCCTTCGACTTATGTTGCTTCCATCGTACTTGAGGACACATCCCAAAAATAATGTCGAGCACCTGGAAAAGTGTCGAAAGAGTGTCGAAACAGTGTCGAAGCAATGTCGGACGAGTGTCTCCCAGGGCCCGACACGTGAAAGCCATCGAGTTTCGGTACATTTTTGGTGCTCGAAATTCTTTCTGGTGGTCAAGGCTAAAGTATGTTGGAACATCATAACCTTCGACGCCAGAGGCGTCCACCAGACTGGCTGAAGCGGGAAGCACGATGGCGCGGGGCCAGGCCAGGCGACGCGAGGCAAAGCCTTTTTTCCCACAGGCATCAACCAACAAGCTTGCTCCATGAAGCGCGCAGCCAGTGACGTGTGAAACTGAGGAGGCAAACACGGGGGCAGACAGCGGAGAGGAAAGAGTGGGCGCGCAAGAGCGGGTAGCGTGGTTGCCAAAGACGGCTGTCACGTGCGACAGCAAGCCCCCGCGGCAGGGCCGCCCCGGCGAGGCCGACGCGCTGCCAGTGGGCCCCCGCTGGGCCCTGGCAGTTCGTCGCCAGCCCCGCGGACGCGGCCGGCGGGACTGGCGAGGGGGGGGCCCGCCCTCTCCCCTCCAGGGCCTCGGGGCTGCGGGTGCTCGAGTCTTCATGGGCGCCGCCCTGGCCTGCTCGTCCTCCTGCTCCGAAGCTTTGCCCACGACGATCGAGGATCCAGGCGAACGAAGCCGCTTCTCCAACATATTCCCTTCCATCCCCTGTTCCCCCTATCCTCCTTCTCATCCTCCGCCTCCTCCTGCTCCTCCTCGTCCTCCTCCTCCTCCGGCACATGTTGGCTGCATTGCCTGCTTCCGATAGCTGCTGCTGCTGCTGCTGCTGCTGCTGCTGCTGCTGCTGCTGTTGCTGCTTCTCGTCCTCCTTATCCTCCTCCACCTCAGCCTCCTGCTCCGCTTTCTCCTGACCCACCATCCTCCTCCTCCACCTCCATCTCCACCCTCACCTTCTCCTACTCCCCTTTCTCCCGCTGTTCATGTTACTGATGCTCCTGCTGCTCCTGCCACCCCTCCTCCTCCTCCTCCCCTCCTCCTCCTCCTCCTCCTCCTCCTCCTCCTCTTCCTCCTTCTCCTCCTCCTCCTCCTCCTCCTCCTCCTCCTCCTCCTCCTCCTGCCCACCCCCAGGATGATGACGGCGACGACGTTGAAAATCCCAGCGACGATGAAGACATCGACGGCGACGTGGGCGATGACACCGACGCCTTCGGCGACGTCGACGAGGACGACGACAACGACGACGACGACGACGACGTCGACGACGGCGTTGGCTCCGACGGCGACACCGACGGGCGACGGGGGCAGGCCTGCTCGACCTTGGCAGCGACCGCCGCCACGTCCCGACCCAGCCCCTCCAGGAAGGCGAGATCAGTGCTCAGGCGCTCCTGCACTCCGCCCCTCGGCGGCGAGCAGGCGATGGCGGCGACGACAAAGGCGACGACGACGACGACGTGGACGGCGACGAATGAACGACCACACCAGAGAACGGCGACGACGACGACGATGGACGACGACGACGACCATGGACGAGGACGACGACGACGACGACGACGACGACGCCGACGCCCAGGGTGACAAAGACGAGGATGAGGACGAGGGCGAGGACCTTGACGAGGACAAGGACGAGGACGAGGACGACGACGACGACGACGACGCCGACGACGCCGACGACGACGATGGGGACGACGACGACGCCAACGACAACGACGACGACGACGCCGACGACGCCGACGACGACGACGACGACGACGGGCGACGACGACGCCCAGGATGACAAAGACGAAGACGAAGACGAGAACGAGGACGAAGACCTCGACACGGACGACGCCAACGACGCCGACGACGCCGATGACGACGACGACGACGACGACGACGACGACGACGACGACGACGACGACGACGACGACGACGACGACGGTGGCGACGGTCGCGGCAGCGGCGACGCTGGCGACGAAGACATTTGCGACGACGGCGATGGCGGCGGTGGCGGTGGCGGCTGGTCAGGCCTGATCGAGCCTGCGGCTGTGGTGTCTGCGAGGTTCGGAAGGCCTCGAGGGCTCGTGTCGTGGCCTCCCCCTGCCCAGGGATCCCTAGGATCGCGTCGGTCGCCCACCCGTCCCATAGGCTTTGGATCGTTTGTGGGCGGTCTGATGTGGGTCGGCAGCTGGCTGGGCCAGAGGTGGTCTCTAAAATCGGTGCTGCGGCGGCCTTCTCTGCCGCATGGGGGGCCCACGTTCGAGGGCGGACCCACCTGCCGGCGCAGGAGTGCCTCCCTGCCCGCCAGGCGTGAACGGACTGCGGCTCGATCAGCTCAGGCGGCCCTCCGCCGTCTGCGGGCGGGGCGCGAACCCCAGCTGGGGGCCTTCTGGGGTTAGGTCGGGCATGTCCCCCTACAAGCACATGTTGTACGACAAATGAAAAATACCTCCAAGAATGCCCCAAATATATATTAAAATGTAAGAAAATCGTCCCAAAACTATGTTTTTACTATTTCTCCCAACCCTCTTGCGTTGGGTTCTCGTTTCGAATACAGCACTGCTCGCGCGTTTCCTTCCCACCCCCTCCCGTCCCCTCCCGTCCCTCTCTTCCCCCTCTGCCTTTTACCTCGCTCGTCGTTGCCTCTCTTCCCCCCTGCCTTTGACCTCGCCATCCCTGGGGGGCTGCGATCTGTGAAACTGTCGCCACTTTCGAGGGCTGCTGGGGGGCCCAGCACAGTGGGTACCCACCGCGGACTCAAATTAGACCTCGCCATCCCTGGGGGGCTGCGATCTGTAAAACTGTCGCCGCTTTCGAAGCCTGCTGAGGCCCAGCACGGTGGGTACCCACCGCGGACTCAAATTAGACCTCGCCATCCCTGGGGGGCTGCGATCTGTGAAACTGTCGCCACTTTCGAGGCCTGCTGGGGGGCCCAGCACAGTGGGTACCCACCGCGGACTCAAATTAGACCTCGCCATCCCTGGGGGGCTGCGATCTGCGAAACTGTCGCCACTTTCGAGGGCTGCTGAGGGGCCCAGCACAGTGGGTACCCACCGAGGGCTCCAACTAGACCTCGCCATCCCTGGGGGGCTGCGATCTGTGAAACTGTCGCCACTTTCGAGGCCTGCTGGGGGGCCCAGCGCGGCGGGTATCCACCGCGGACTCAAATTAGACCTCGCCATCCCTGGGGGGCTGCGATCTGTGAAACTGTCGCCACTTTCGAGGCCTGCTGGGGGGCCCAGCACAGTGGGTACTCACCGCGGACTCAGACCTCGCCATCCCTGGGGGGCTGCGATCTGTGAAACTGTCGCCACTTTCGAGGCCTGCTGGGGGGCCCACACAGTGGGTACCCACCGCGGACTCAAATTAGACCTCGCCATCCCTGGGGGGCTGCGATCTGCGAAACTGTCGCCAGTTTCGAGGGCTGCTGAGGGGCACAGCACAGTGGGTACCCACCGAAGACTCCAACTAGACCTCGCCATCCCTGGGGGGCTGCGATCTGTGAAACTGTCGCCACTTTCGAGGCCTGCTGAGGGGCACAGCACAGTGGGTACCCACCGCAGACTCAAATTAGACGCCGCTTTCGTCCTTGTTCTTCTCCTGCAGTCACCTTCCCTCTGCTGCTGCCGTGCTGATGGTTCGGCTTCCCGCACGTTTTTCTCCTGCTCTGCGTTCCCGACTCCCCATGTCCTCTTCGAGCCTGTAGCTGTCGCCCCTCGTCCTTGTATGGTTCTCCTGCGCATCATGCCATAGGCGCGTGTCCCAAGTAGCTTACACATCAAGTTGATTGTCCATGCAAGTTTCGGCCAACTCCTCGTTTCCATTGATACAAATGGGTTGGGTACGTCACAGGGTAACTGAATTTCCCCCCTGTAGAGGGACAGGCCCGACTTACTTCTGGGGCCTGCCGTTCCCTCCTGGCCCGCACGAGGCCCGCCGGAGGCGCCCGGAGAGCCGCCTCTGGAGGCTCCCGCCTCGGCCCGTGCACACCTGTGGCCGTCCCCGAGGCTCAGCACTCGGGCAAGCAATCGAGCTCTGCAGAGCGGAGCTTGTCTTAGGTCGGGCGTGTCCCCCTACAGGAGGAGTTCGGACCACGAAAAAAAGATACTCAAAAAATACCCCCCCAAATGCCCCAAAATACTACAAAATAGTCCCCAGACCATGTTTTGACTATTTTTGAATATTCCCCCGGTAGATGGACAGGCCCGACTTAAAACCTGTCTCATGGGGACACAGGGGACGCAGAGGAAGACCAGCGCCATTTCGGAAGGCAGCGACGACGCTGAACTACACGCCCTCCCGCCCCCGGTGCCCCTCATCTAGGGGGAAAACCAACCTACCTCGCTTTTGACCACCCTCGCTTCCAAGAGATACCAAGCGATGCCAAACTACGGCCTGTACTGGTCAGGCCGCTTGACGAGGAGGCGCGTGGTATGACTTGGTTTTGCCTGGAAGCGAAAGCGGGGTAGGTAATTCACGCTCCGATCATCACAGATCCCCACATGGATCACCCTGCACTGCTGGCAGCACCTCCCACCGAAGGCAGAGCGCCCCGTGGTTCTGCCACTCGGGCGAGGGCCCCCGTCGAGGAGGGGCGGGAGGGGAGAGGGGCGAGCCGAGAGAGAGGCTCCAAAGACTCGGCGTTGCCGGGGCCGCGGAGGGGCGGAGGCGTGCTCCCCTCGGCCAGCTGGAGGCACCGACTCTCCCTCCTCCTCCTCCCTCCTCGTCCCTCCTCGTCCCTCCTCTTCCCTCCTGTTCCCTCCTGCTCCTGGTCCCATTATCCGCTCCTCCTCGCCTCCTCCCCCCCCCCACCCTTCCCCCTCACCATCCGTCGAGCTTCGGGCTGCGGACATTTGTCTCCCAGAACGGATGCGGCCCTCGAATTTCTCCCACCCCGAGGCGACGGGGGGGAGGGGCAACAACAACCAAGAGTTGACGGGAGAGAAGAAGGAACGACCGAACGGCGGACATGACTCTCTCCACGATGCACCTCAAGGAGGGCGGAGTGAAGGTTGTCTGTGGCAGCTGAGCGGGGGCAATCCTTGCTGGAGGCCAGGTGGAAGGCGGATGTCTTAAGAGTGCGGGCGGCGCGGCGGCGCAGCGGGAGCAGGCTGTGTGAGGGGAGCGGGCGAGTGGGCATGGGCGCTGTGGCGGCGAACAACGACAAGCGCAACAGGCGTGCCGTGGCGGCCAGGGCAGGGTGGGCGGAAGAGGCGGGAAAGAGTTGGCAGGTGAGTGGAGGGCAGGTGGTGCCCTGAGCGGCGCCGCCACCACCCGCGTTGAGGGTGATAGCTCCTTCGGCTTGGCACTTTGGTGAGGCGCGGCGAGGTGGTCCACGGCCGACGCGGGGGTGTCCCTCACCCTCCTCTTCCTCCTCCTCCCCCTTTTCCTCCTCCTCCTCCTTCTTTTCCTCCTCCTCCTCCTCCTGCTCCAGCCGTTCTGGCGCAGGCAATTTCGTTATGCAGCTCTTGCTGACGTGTACATCAGAATGGTTTGCGTCAGCGAGTCATGTGGCTTGCGATGAGTAGGCGCCCATGGGTATATGTATGTTGATCCTGTTGCTGGTGTTGCTCAGTAGTGGACCAAGCAGATATAGGAGCGTCAGCCCACATGGAAATGTGACAAAAGCGGCCGTGCACGCAACTCGGGCGCATAGTGGTTCTGCAACCGTTGCCGTTCGCCATGGTCCGAATCTTGCTCTCCAGTCGGTCCCAATAAGAAGAAAGACGTACCAGGTGCAGTTGGCAGCATCGACCATCAGACAGCAACTCCCATGGAGCTCAAGGATATGGCGCAGTCTCTTGGAGATGACGACATCCTCAAGACCATCCAGTCGAAGGTTGCCTCTGCGGAGGCTCAGCGTGCGTCATGGTCCCCTCGCCTGGAACAGCAGCTCTCACTGGCCACAATAGCTACCAGCAGCTCGGACGTAGGTTCAACAACGGCTTTGACCAACTTGAAAAAATGATGCATTGAATTAGGACAAGAAGAATAATACTCTTAAGTTGCGGTTGCAGCTCGAGGAGGGCAAGGCCAAGCACAAGAAGATAATCATTGACATCCACTCCAAGAACAGCCCCTCGGCTTCCAAGTCTCAGGACAAGATCGGCATCAACCTTCGGGACCTCGTGGAAGGCAAGGCCCCGCGTTCGAGGCCATTGTTCACAAGAGCTGTATTCAGTACATGCAGATGATGACGAGCCCACTCCTCAGGATGTTCGGAGTCATGTCGGGCAGCGGCCCTTCGCCAGCCCCAGCGGCACCCTCGGACTCACGTGTGGCGGAGGATTGCAAGCAGCAACTTACTGAGTTGCTGGAGGGCGGACAGGCAGGACAGTACGCAGGTCTCTACAGGACCATGCTCGATTTCCTGCAGAACCCTTCAGCCCTCAGCAAGAGGCCCAGG